AATATCATTTCAGGCATTTAAAAAAATATTTCACTCCCATCTGGGCGACGGAGTGAAACTCTAACTAAAATAAAATAAAATAAAATAAAATAAAATAAAATAAAATAAAATAAAATAAAATAAAATAAAATAAAATAAAATATAAAATAAAATAAAATAAATAAAAAAATATAAAAATATTTCTAGCTGGGCAAAGTGACTCATGCCTGTTATCCCAGCACTTTGGGAGGACCAGGTGGGAGGATTGCCTGAGCCCAGAAGTTTGAGACTAGCAAACGTAGCAACACCTTGTCTCTACAAAAAAATCAAAATGAAAATTAATGGGGCATGGTGGTGCACATCTGTCATCCCAGCTACTCAGGAGGCTGAGGCAGAAGGATTGCCTGAGTCCAGAAGGTCGAGGCTGCAGTGAGCTGTGATCATGTAGTCCAGCCAGGGTGACAGAGTGAGACCCCTAACTCAAAAAAAAAAAAAATCTAAATAGTTATATAAATTAGATTTGCATATTCAAGGTGAGAATTACGATTGTTTTCTTAATTTCTACTAGTTTCCTTTCTATGAACTTACTTCAGATTTCAAATATTATTCACTCTGAGTAAATCTTTAAGCTCTCCAAAAGCAGAAGAAACCGTACTCTTCGAGGGCCACGCCAGCCTGCTTGCCAGTAGTCGCAATGAGTCACAGCTGGAATGTCCTGTGGTTAACATTCTGCTCTGAAAACAGAATCAGGAGTGGTTAGGCACCCACTGGTTTCCATGGTAACCTGTATTTGTGTTCTTGAAAAATGACTGTTCCTTTTTGTGTGGTCAATTTACACGGGAATGAATTGCAGAGGTGACGTTAGCCATCTGTGTGAATATAAACAAAAAAACTGATTTCATTAAGGATAAACTTTGAAAGGCCATATACCTGGAGGTATGGGACTTCCCCTGCCTTATAGAGGAGTTGCTTTTCACTAATTTATTCATTAATGTATTTGACATTATATTTAAGCATTTTCATTAGTCTCTGTTTGATGTTTATTTCAATGCATTATTTCCTCCCCTCCAAAGGCAAAAAGAAATGAGTCGCATTCATCACTGTTCTCTATCCCTCTTCCCCTCCTCTTCTCTTCCCCCTCCCTCTCAACCTATTCACAATGTGTTATTTTAAGGCCACTGAATGGCTGGGATTCAGGAGTCTCCTTCAATGAAGTAATCCCATCCGGAAGGAAGAAAAAAAAAATCCCCTCTATGTCATGTGAAAATGTCACATCTCTTAACCTTGTTGAGCTGGAGGCAAAAATACTATATTGTTCATGACCTTGCATAGAACTGAAAGAAAATTCCTCAACGTGTTGCTACCTAGTATTTTATATGACCTATAGAGCTTAGGGTAATTGTAGTTACAGAGAAGTCTTACCTGACATTTTGTTGAATAAAAATGAAATCATTTAAGCTTTGGTCACTCAACTGCAATCCCAAATTAGGAGCAAGCTTTTGGAGTGGAAGACAAGAGTGTTTTCTTGCTAATTAAGCCTCTACTTGGGAGCAGTGTGTTTACTTGTGTGTTAATTAGTTTTGAACTGGACTTCATACACAAGAATTAATAAAAACTCTGAAGTTGAGATAAGTTTCCTGCAGAGAAGCAGCAATTTAGCAATTTTGGTCTCCTTCCCACCTCCCCCTGACCCCTTCATGAGAAGATGGGGCCTGAGATCTGAGGTGAAGGGATTTGGTTCTTGTTCCCTCTTCTTTTTTTAGGCTGTTTATTTCATTTTCTCATTCTCCCTCCCTCAGATGGTTTTCTCAACTATGTAGAATACTAGAAACGTGATAGTAAATACATACATTTGAAGCAGCAGTTTTAAAAATAAAAGGAGGCCAGGCACAGTGGCTCATGCCTATAATCCCAGCGCTTTGGGAGGTCGAGTTGAGAGGATTACCTGAGCCCACCAGTTCGAGACCTGGCCGGGCAACTTGGTGAGACCTCATCTCTACAATAAATCAAGAAAAATTAGCCGGGCGTAGTGGCATGTGCCTGTAGTTCCAACTTCTTGGAAGGCTGAGGTGGAAGGATCGCCTAAGCCCAGTAGGTCGAGGCTGCTGTGGCCATGAGCATGCTACTGCACTCGAGCTTGGGCAACAGAGTGAGACTCCAACTCAAAAAATAAATAAAATAAAATAAAAAATAAAAGGAAACTAAAATGATAAGCCTGGAAGATAAACCTCATCTTTATTCATTTGCTTAAAAATGCTTGGGTTTAGTACTTCAGGATGAATAATATAGTGGATGTCTGAGTTTATCTTTTTTTTTTTTTTTTTGAGTTGGAGTCTCACTCTGTCGCCCAGACTGGAGTGCAGTGGCTGCTCCCGGCCACCGCAGCCTTGACCTGCTGGGCTTCGGCGATCCTTCCGCATCAGCCTTCCGAGTAGCCAGAACTACAGATGCGCGTTACCGTGCCTGGCTATTTTTTATTTTATTGTAGAGACGAGGTCTATGCCAAGTTGCCCAGGCCAATCTCGAACCCACGGGATCAGGAAATCCACTCGCCTTGGCCTCCCAAAGTGCTGGGATTACAGGCTGAGCCACCAAGCCTGGCTAAGCTTATCTTTTGAAATCTCTGTTGACCTTCCTCAAAATCTCACAACCACGTGTGTCTAATGAGCAGCTAATTTGAGAACTCAATGAGATAGGCCAAGATTTAGAAATCTGGTGGCTCAGCCTATAATCCCACGCCTTGGGAGGCTGAGGTGAGTGGATTGCCTGAGCCCGCAAGTTCGAGACCCGCCTGAGCAATTTGGCGAGACCTCATCTCTACAGTAAATCAAAAAATTAGCTGGGTGTGGTAGCGTGCGCCTGTAGTTCCAGCTACTCTGAAGGCTGAGGCAGAAGGATCGCCGGAGCCCAGCAGGTCGAGGCTGCAGTGGCCGGGAGCAGCCATTGCACTCCAGTCTGGGTGACAGAGTGAGACTCCAACTCAAAAAAAAAAAAAAAAGAAATCTGAAATTTTCTATGGCCTTGACCAAGACCCCTCCTGGTTCCCCTTTATTGCCTGAAAGGAGCAGCAATTTAGGACTGTATGATCCTAATGTCTGTCTAACTATAGATAGTTCAGGTAATAGTGTAGTTTAAGTCCTATCACAACACATGCAGTTGTGGGGAAATCTTTGTGTTCACTGAAGAGGCACCGGAAACCTGCCCTCATTATAACACTGCTCTGAGCAGTGAGAGGAAGCCCAGAGGTGGTCTGTGCTCTAACTCACAATCAGTAGGGGAGATAAGACATGCATGCCTTCAACTAGAATGCAAGGGGATGTGACTATTTCCACAAAAGAAGCACAAATGAAAAGCTAAGGACTTTCAAAGGAAAACTAATTTATGCCTGACTGTAGGGATTCAGGAAGGCTCCGTGTGGGTGCTTTGTAAGATTTGGTTGTAAAGCTTTCCACACTCAAATCAATACGATTCAATAATATTTTATGTCATAGTATTTTAGTAAATAAAAAGAATTTGGTTGGTTTGGAATGCATTGAATCCAGATTACACATTTACCCACAAACACATGCAAACACATACATGCTCACATACATGTGCTCTCCAAGAGAATAATAATGAAAGTCCATGAGTCTGTTGATGAATCCTTTCCATTGTATTGTCATGCCAGCTCATCCCAAGAGTTACTGGAGCAAAGTGTTTAATGTGCACATCAAGAGGATTAAGAGAAAATATAATGACTTGTGTCATGAGAAAGCCAATCTTTTTTGACTGTCATTATCTTTCTCAAGTAAAGAGATATAAGAGAGGGGTTTCCTTGATTTTTTATGTTTATTTTTTAGTGTAGAGATATGCAGTCAATAAAATTATTAAATGAGGCAGCTGAAGGGTACACAGTCTTGCACACTTCTTTCTCCTTGAGGATGTATAAATACCTCAGTGGAAAAATGGGCAAAGATCTCAGCAGAGAAGAAATATAAATGCCAGATAAACATGAAGAAACCCCTTCCCTCTCAAAACAATCAAAACAACATAAATTAACACAGTTAAAAAAAAAAAAAGAAATGTTCACTATCAAGACTAGTTTTAAAAATAATCGTAGCCATAATTGATAAAGCTCCACTGAAAGAAATGTCTCTAATCTTCTGTGGGAGGATAAATTGGTATAAATTTTCTGGTAAGAAATGTAATAATGTTTTATCAAGAGCCATAAGATTATACTGTTTGATTCATTCTCTTTTTAGGAATCTTTTTAAAGAAACATTTAAAGTATTAAATAAGTATTTCTATCTGCAAAAAAATTAGAGACATCTTAAATGAACAGCAGTAGAGTTAAAATGTAAACATTAGTGGCATTTTATGCCAATATTTATAGACTATTTAATGGCATGCTTAGTGAAAAGCAAGGAACACAACTAAATAGGTGGCCTAAATTTATACACACCTATTCCACCTGCAAAATATGATTGTCGCCAGATAGATACAAATGAAAAAGTATCAAGAGAAGTTTCTGGTATTAATTAACAAAATATTAACAATGTTTATTTTCAGTTAGGTTAATCTTTATACTTTCCTTTTCCATATCTTTCTAAAATGCCTGGTTTTTTTTACAGTTAGTATTTATTTTAATAATTACATCTTACAGTTCGGATAGCTACTGCTCATTTTGAGCACCTCTCAGTTAAGTGAAGGCAGCTCATGGGGTGTACTATTTCTCTATACTGTGTTTGGATTATACTTGGGACTGGCTACATGGACATACTATCAAAAATTGGTAGTAGAATTTCCAAATTTATTGGGCTTAGGAATCAGATCCATCTCTAAAACCCTCTAAGGCACTTAATCCCTCCTAAGGCACTTATCTATTTTTAATTCTTGCATTGAGCCTCTGTACTCAGCCCACCTCCTGTAACTTCTAACGTTTGAATCAAGAAACAACTTTCGCCCTTTTGTAGACTTGGTTTTTCCCATCCAACAGATCATGTCAAGTGTTTTCACATTGGGAACTTTCTCTTTGATTTCAGCTCTATGATGGCCCACAGTGGATGGGGCGCTACTGTGGAGTAGACCTACCCGCTCCAGGAAATACCACAAGCTCCAGGCTTCAAGTGCTGTTCCATACCGATGGGGTTGGCCACCGTGAGAAAGGATTTCAGATGCAGTGGTTTGTTCACGGTAAGCCCTGTGCTGGTCTCAGTTGTACCTGAAGTTGCTATTTCACTAAGAAGTGTTCCCTTTCCAGTTCTATACTTGGAAACAACACCATGAACAAATAATAGAACCCAGGCACTAATAATCGACTGCTGGACCTTAGGCAATATGCTCAGGCTTTAGTGGAATGTGGAGAGTTAAATCTTTGAGGATGAAAAGAGAAAGTGAAGTCAAGGTGGAAATAATTTGGATAACTGGTCAATTAGGTGCAGGGATAAATTGCCTTAGAGAAGGAAGAGGGCAGAATGAAGTTTCTAGGGATGAAGATTTGAACCTGGGCATAGCAAGCAAATTGCAAGGTGGCATGGGAGTCTCATGGGTACAATGAGATAGAATGAGACTTAAGGCTCACCTTGGTATTAAACAGAGAAAGATGGGTAGGAATAGACAAGAAAGAGCAAGAGTCTTACATGGAGAGATAGGGAGAAGGGGAATGGGATAGATTGGACTGAATGGAGGAGAATTGAAGCTATGATGCGTGCACTTGTCAAACAGGTAGGGACACATCAGAGCCCACCTGGGTGGTTCAGAAAGCAGGTAGAGATAATAATTCCTTTGAAGATAAAAAGTCTTTTTTAACAAGAGGTCTGAGATTTCTACAGGTCTCATGTGCCGATTTGCAAGTAGAGAGCCCAGAGCAGCAGTATCACCTGGAGCTTGTTAGAAATGCAAATTCTTGGGCCCCATGCCAGGCCTACAGAATCTGATGGTGGGCCTGATAAGCTGTGTCCAAACTGGTCTCCCTGGTAATCAAAGTTCAAGAACCCGCCGGGCTCGGTGGCTCAGCCTATAATCCCAGCACTTTGGGAGGCCAAGGTGAGTGGATTGTCTGAGCCTGTGGGTTTGAGACCAGTCCGGGCAACTTGACGAGAACTCATCTCTACCATACATTAAAAAATGAGCCAGGTGTGGTAGCCTGTAGTTCCAGTTACTTGGAAGGCTGAGGCGGAAGGATCACCAGAGCCCAGCAGGTCAACACTGGGGTGGCCATGAGTGTGCCACTGCACTCCGGCCTGGGTAATGGAGTGAGACTCCTACTCAAAAAAAAAAAAAAAAAAGTTCGATACCCACTGTCCTAAAGTGATCCAGCCTGGAAATATATAGTCCTTGTGGGTATCACAGTAGCAGTTCTCATCCAAGATGTTAAGGCTCCTTGGAACACTTCAATCACTTGGAAAGAGGGATGGAGTTGCAATAGTATGCTAGGGAATCAAGCATAGAACTCTAAACTGTGGCCCTACTGTGAAAATCAGGTGCGAGCTCAAGGTGGGTACACATTAGTGTGAACCATGGTTGACTCTCGAAAGTTCTTCACAGAATAGTGCATATGTGAATCTCAGAGCTATGTATAATAGATAGCCCTATTATATGTTTAAGAATGCTAGAGGTTCTAAGATTATGAATTGGGGACTGAGTGTATTTCTGTTAAAATATGTATGAGATAGCCGGGCTCGGTGGCTCAGCCTGTAATCCCACACCTTTGGGAGGCTGAGGTGAGTGGATTGCCTGAGCCCGCGGGTTCGAGACCCGCCTGGGCAGTGAGACCTCATCTCTACAATAAATAAAAAAATCAGCCGGGCATGGTAGTGTGCGCCTGTAATTCCGGCTACTTGGAAGTCTGAGGTGGAAGGATCACCGGAGCCCAGCAGGTCGAGGCTGCGGTGGCCGGAAGTGGCCACTGCACTCCAGTCTGGGTGACAGAGTGAGACTCCAACTCAAAAAAAAATAAATAAATAAAGTAAAATAAAATAAAATAAAATATGTATGAGTTTTCAGTATTTAAAAATATCTGGTAATTGTTGGAAATAGTGGCTCACACTTATAATCCCAGTGCTTTGGGAGGCTGAGGCAGGGGATCCTTTGAGGCCAAGAGTTTGAGACAGCTTAGACAGCATAGCAAGACCACATCTAAAAATAAAAAAATAAATTAAAAAAAAAATACTCAGTGGTAATCCACAGAGCTAATTGTAGCTTGAAATATAGATTATGCATTCCCAAAGTAAGTGAGCTATGATAATTAAGCTTGTGAAAGTTCTTGGACCTTCCATTTCATCACATAGGTAGATTTGACCTAGGTTTATTAATCTATCTATTCAGTGAAAGAATTGGATTGATTCATCCCTAAAATACCATCATCTATAGTATTCTGTGATTCAGAAACATCATGATTTTGAACTAGAAACTAGAGACAGTATGAAAAGACATAGAAAGGACAGGAAAATCCTGGGAAATTACCCAGATTTTCAAGGACTAGGAGTGTTTTCCAGAGCAATCATTCTCAGACATTCGTGGGCACTTGAATCACTAGGGATTTGTTAAAATTAAGATGGAGTGTGGGGTAAGGCCTGAGAATCTGCATGTTTAACAAGCTCCCAGGTAATGCTGATGGTGCCACTCTGTGTACCACACTCCAAGGAGCAAGAAGAGAGCAGATTTAAACCTGGAGAAAGAAAGCAATGGAAAAATGATATCACTAGGGACTGGAGAATCTTTCTGAGGTGCCCAAGGGCCCACTGTTCTGTCTGTTTTAATGGCAGCAGGATGATATCTGGGGTCCCTGTAATGAAGAACTACACCACTTCAGTGATCCAACAAGGAGAAAACTTTTCTAGAGGTCCGAAAGGCGGAAGTTAGGGAATGCTAACCAGGAGGCCTGGACTCGGGGCCTTGGGGAGCTTCCTCATCCCAAGATACACACTGGAATTGCCTGGGAATTTAATAAGCCCCCATGTCTGGGTTCCAACTTCCACAGATAGGATTTAATTGGTCTGCAGTGGGGCCTTGGCCTTGACTATTGCTAATTTTTCAGTTTTCCCTAAGTAATTCATTGATGTAGTCAGGATGGAGAGTTTTAGGAGCTGTGATTTTACTGGTTACATCTATCACTTCGAAAGATAACTCCATCTCCCCGCTTCCAGGCTATTCTAGCCATGTTTGAACTAGCCAAGGCCACTAGCCAAGGCCATGGTAGCCAAGGCCACTCCAAGAAGCTTGACTGAACGGGCACTGTGGGCTACACTCGGATTAGTGAATCAGTGAGTTCTTCCAGCCAACATGTTAGATCTTCTGGTGAAAGCTCTGAGTTTTCTTTGGGAAATTTTTTTTACCAGTTCTATTTGGAATCTGTCTTCTTTTGGGAGAGTCAAAGACACCCTCTGTCTATTCTCTTTTCCTGTTTACTATTTCAAAACTTTATCCCAGTTGCTGAAAACTTGCTAAGCATGAAGCCAGGGTTGTGCAACAAATTTTGCCAGCTGAGGCCAGAACTGAAACAAACACATTTTTAACTCTGTGCTTCCCATAGAATTATATGTAAATTATAGTTGGGCTGCACCTTCTGGAAGGAGGTTGTTAGTCGTTTCTGCATATGAACTATGCCTTTGAGATAACAGACAGAAGGCAACCATTAGGGAACAGGACTTCCATGGGAGAGGTCTTCTCACTTTTTAGCCATTGGAGGTAAACCCAAGACATAAATTATCCTTTATCACTCATGTATTTGTTCATTCTGCAGATATTAAGGTGCTCTTTCGCGCCAGTTACCGTGCTAGGACTGGAGACACAGAGTGACTCAAGAGCTTGCCGGCTAGGTGGGAGAAGTAGGCATGAGACAGATAAGCACGCAAAGAAATAGAAAAGCAAAGCTGCACAAAGCACCCGAGGTCACATGCAGGGCATCTGACCTGAGCTGGCAGGTCAGGGAAGTTGCCCATGGGAATGGGAGCTCTGAACTAAAATCTAGAAAATTAACAGGAGTTAACTAGGCAAACAGGAGAAGGAAAAGGACTCCAGGTAGAAGAAAGACCCTGCGATGGAGACTGGGAGAGCTCAAGGGACCCAGAAAGTCCAGAGTGGCTAGAATCAGGCCCAAGGGGCACAGGCTGACAAAGGAGCTGGGGATCTAAGCATATACATTGTGTGCGCGTGCATGCGTGCGTGCGTGCATGCGTGCGTGCGTGCGTGTGTAAATAATGAGTAAGGAATGATGGCAGGCACTGAACCATGCCCTCTGTCTTCATGTGAATCCTTTATATTTCAGAGAAATGCTTTTGAGTAGAATCTCAAAGAACTGAAGCAACACGACTAATTGTGACCCTCAAAATACAAAATCAAATAAATGCAAAATACATTTTTAATTACCCTCAGTGTTGAAGGGCAATAGTAATATTCTTAAATGTATTTGTGTGTACAAGTATGAATGTGTGTAACATGTCAGGAGGAAAAAAAATCAAAAAGATCATTTCTGCACAGCCTCATTAGGTGTCTCCTTAGAATCAAGCATCACATTATTTTTCAGGGCCTTCTCCCTCCCACTGTTTTCCAATCTATGCAAAAAGAACTCAAAAAACTCTGCGCAAGGGTTCAAAATCTGCAGCAACATCATTTGTGAGCACTCCTTCTGAGGATAAATCCCCGCACACTTCAGTCATTTCCCCAATTAATAAATAAATCAGTTTACAAATGTGCTTTCTTGTGGACCGCACAAATCTTCTGTTTGCTTGGAGAAAATGTATCTACAAACGGATGTTATCTGAGTGCCTGTTTTGAAGGTGGCCCTAGAGACGTGAGACGAAACCACACTGCAGGGGCTTTCTTTATGTGGGGCTCAAAGAGGATCCCACTCTGAAAATAAAGAAATGGCCACAGTTGCCCTGCCTTGCTAATCGGTTCACGGTTTTCAGCCTTGACAGCTTTGTCCAGAGGCTGCATTCGGCCTTGGGGGCCTCGGTCTGGGCTGATTAAGGGAATAGAGAACTTTCCTTGAGCTGTGTGAATAGTGGCCTCCCAGCCAGCTGCACACACTCTTGCCTCTTCTGGTCGCTGCTCCTGGGGGCCGCCTTTCACTTGGTGATGGAATCCAGAGCACAAACAAGGTGAAGGAGCTCTGTGGGCACCAGTGACATTTGCAGAGGGAGCGAACTCTTCAGCTGGGAGCTTAGTAGGGGAAGGGCTAAGTGACATGT